GGAATACCTCCCACACAAGGGAGTACCTCCCACACAAGGGAGTACCTCCCACACAAGGGAATACCTCCCACACAAGGGAATACCTCCCACACAAAGGAATACCTCCCACACAGGGGAATACCTCCCACACAAGGGAATACCTCCCACACAAGGGAGTACCTCCCGCACAAGGGAGTACCTCAAGGGAGTACCTCCCACACAAAGGAATACCTCCCACACAAAGGAATACCTCCCACACAAGGGAGTACCTCCCACACAAAGGAATACCTCCCACACAATCACACTGAACAAACACTCCAATTAAACGTAATGGTACCAATGAAGAAAGTGAATTAAAAGCAAAGAATGTATGTTTTGTTAATGACTTCTGCTGTCATTCTGGTAACATGTACAAAATAAATGAATTCAAGGACGAGTATCACTTTCACTCAGCTGTCTTGTATTGATTTCTATGGCATATCAACTGTCATTTCTCGGAATTGAAAACAGAAACGTGAAAGATTATAGAAATAACCTTGTAGACATAATAAACTTGTTTCAGCACTAAAAGAGACGGAAAAATCAACCAATACTTTTATGGTTGTCTCATATCATAGCAACAAGAATTTCATGTGAAATACACTCAAATATGTAACAGAATTTTCACATGGAAATTCGCAAAATATTAAGGCTCTTTTTTCGAATAATAGATGAATCCAGTAATTGGCAAAATTTTGAAATATTCCCTGAGCTGGGAATTAAAAACATAAATTAAAATGTGTGTTTATATCCCTTGAGAAGAAAAACTGAAAGTTTAGAATGGCGCATTTTGAGTTGTTCTTTAAGATCAAAAACAGTAGATCTTAGAATTCAGAAATAGTTTTATTTGAATTATCTAAATTAAAATCGGGAGTGTTCGTCCTAGATTGGGAGATTTGACAAGTATAAATTACTGCATTAGATGTAATTCTAAATACATCATACAATTGTATATAAAAACGAAGTCATTTTGTAAAACATTAATAATTGTTTAAACTTCAGTATTTATCAAAGATATTGATAGAATTCAACCTACATTTTACATTATTTTACATTACAACTGTTCACCAAGACAAAAAAAATAAGAAAGGAAACAAAAAGTCTATGGAGGTTAAAGTTTGAATGTCAGGTCAAGCTGGACAGGTTAAAAGGGTTTTAAAACATTCATTTCTCTGAAAGTATTCCTGTACAAAATGCAAAAATAAATTTGAAAGAAAAGCAAAGAGAGAATCATGATAGTATTAAAATACTTGCATTTGAATCTTAAAATTCCCTTTTCAACGGAGTTTATATATAAGGTTTTTGTAAATGTGACTGAACTATTGAAACAGTTTATGAAGACATCACAATGTAAGCTAGCTCTGAAAAGAAGTCGTAAAATTATCAACTGTACGAATCCGCATAATACAAATAGAATTGGAAAGTAAAAATGCAATTTCCAAACACAGATTAAATTGTAGAATCTTCGAACACTAGATAGATGCACAATTGTATGCTGTGACTTTTGACTTCATAATCTTGTCCTACATGGAGTTAAACGCTAGTATATTTTATTTGGTTTTTGTACTTGTCATTTCAAATTTTTTTTAAATGATACTTAAAATATGATTCTGTTTTGCAAAATTTCATATTTCACAATTTCAGTTTCCTCAAATGCTTTGTATGCCCCCGCCATAAAATGGGGGGCATATAGTGTTGCCCATGTCCGTCCCGTCCTGTCACGTCCAGTCCCATCCCATCCATGAGAGGGGGCATTTATGTCTTACAGACATTTTCTAGTTTTGTTAAACCAACATTTCAAAGCAGCAGATTGGGCCTCTGTAAAAAGATGTCATCTGTCACAGGGAGGTCTTCATACTCAACCATTTCATACTTCTACAGATGTATGTCTATATCATTTGTCAGAATGGCATAAAAGCAAATAAGGATCTATATTTTATAGAATTGATCAACAGTAGCCTGGTACTAGGCTTTAATTTGTATGGAGCATTTCCATGGTGGAGCTCGATTCTGACATTGTCTTGCCTGTGATTCATTACAAAAATCTCTTCTTAAAAGAATCACGTCTTAATTTTTTTTCCATCTATGTTTTTAAATTGCGTAGTTCTGTCGCCAATGAATCATCAACCGATTAGGCGGTTGTTTTGACGGCTTTTCTTCTGTGGCTATTTTTAGGATCAGTAGACCGTCTTAATTAGTTAGCTAGCGTGATAAACAAATGACTTAAAAGTTTCACGTTTGAACTTCAAAGCATGATTCATGTCTTGTGTGATTGGTCAGAATTAACCTTATTTTGACCAACAAATTTAAAGGACATAAATAGAAAAAAAATCGGCTTAATTTGCCCTTTTATTGATACTTATAAAAATAATTGATCACAACGTAATTCCAAAGATGTAAAGTTAATTAGTCATTTTGTTAATTAGTCACAAATTAGTTGTACACAGGTGAAAAAATTGACTTCCTTGGCTGAAAAAAGAAAAACATGATTCATCAAAAAAACACCAAAACAATTTGTTGGAGCAGTCAACAAACTCGAGATTCCAAATTTCTGATTATAAATACAACATAACCTCATATGCTATCACATTTTGTCCATATAAAGGGTTTGAGGGAAAAGTATAAAGAATTGTGAAAAAAAGAAAGGAAAAGGACCTTTAAGGTAGCAGATGAAAGGAGGGGCATCCTATATATAGGGAGTGATGAGGATAAGGAAGAAGGGGGTAGGCTTGGGTCAGTGATGAAGAAGGGGGCAGGCTTGGGGC